TCCTAGAGTATAGATCCTTTACCTCTTTGGTTAGCTTTATTCCGAGGTATCTTATGGTTTTGGGTGAAATAATCTTCTATTTTTAAGGAGATGGGTAAAATTTCTAAAGGCATTTCCAGTTCAAAAATTTTACAATTTTAGAATTGCAAAACATATCTATAATCCCTATGAAAATTAAATAATTTCTAATTAAATAGGTGGTAGACCTTTCCCCACAAGAAAATCATTATTGAAAAAGCAGTTTCAATGAGATAAAATTATAAAAACAATTAGTGAATCAAATAATCTGTTTCAGTTGGACACTAGTGACATAATGCATGACTGATTTGGTTTTTACATGCTTTATAAAGACTGATGAGACAGTATAGGATTGTTTAATAATGTTATAGTAGAGGCGTAGTGTCATGGTTATGAAATGGGTTGGGTTTTTAAAAATCCTGTGTTTGATTCCTATCTTAGTCAGTTCCCTCTACTTGGATGACCTTGTGACACAATCTCAGTTCCATATCTTAAACTGGAGATGATTATAATAATAATAAAAAATTTTAGAGGATTACTAAGGGACATTACAAAGATAATATTTGCAAACTGCTTGGCACAGATACCAGGCCCATATAAGTGCTTGTTAAGTGCTGACTGATTCTGTAATAATTTGTATTCCCTTAGTTTGAAAGTACTGAGAACTGGAGTAGGCAAAGGTTAAGCTTCACAAGTGGGTTACAAAAGAATTAAAAATACATTTTAACCAGTTTTGAAAGGGATCATGTTTTCAGCCAACAGAAACATCAACATTTGTATGCTTGCTTAGCTTACCTTTCTTTGCAGACTTGAAGAATTTGAGACAGCAATTAAAACAAACACATGATTTTATCAACATACTCATGGATTTTTTTTTAAAAAAGAAAAACATTTTTTAAATCTTTTAATGAAAATAATGAAAATGTATTTTTACAAAGAAGCACAACCTGTTTTTCAGATATTTTTCTTTTATTCCCCTTTAGTGTTATTTTAAATTTTGAGATCTGAAAAGTTTTAGATTGGATTCTATTCTATCATTACCCATGAACAGGGAAAACAGGAATTTTGTACAGTCACTTTTGTTTGTTTCTGATTTTTAAAGGGGAAAATATTCATCACTTCAAAAATTTAAAGCACAGGAAAGTATCAAGTAAATGTGCAAAGGAAGGAGACATAATTTTATCACCAAGAGTAATACTATAGTATTCTAACACTTGAACCATCTGTATATAAAATTGTGTTAAGGAAAGGGACATTATTTTTTATAGTTAACTTGTTTTATTCCTCCATTAAGCTTTTTTTTTGCTACTCTTGGCCTAAAAATACAAAAAAGGACGAAATCTGTGTAGAGAGAATAATACTCCATAAGAAGCACAAAAATCAAAATGTAATTATTTACCATGCCAAAAGGACTCTATGCCCAGAAGCAATGAAGTTATTATAAAACAGGAAACAGAAAAATAATACACAAAATTCCTTAAAGTGAGATCCACTTTATATGACAAGGAAATTAAACAAGGAAATCAGAGGTTGAACAGTGCTTTTGTGTACCCAAAACTAAACTGGTCAAAGGACTAAAACATACATATATATAATATGGGAAATGTTGCAATATCAAAGAAATGGACTAAAATATTAAAGGGTTTTTTTCCATTTTGATGGCCAAATTCCATCCTGTAAGCAGTGCATTAGACGCTAATGACATACGGTTTCTCACTGACAGATTTAACAGCATCAATAAGGCCTCTCTGTCCATTGCAGCAAATTGATCCTACATGACACTGACAAGGGCAGACTGCACTTAATGACCTCCATCACTGAAGGATGGAAATGAAAAATGATTGGAAGTACAAATAAATCTTTGAAAGTTTCCCTGAAACAGGTGTGCTAAAAGTGATTTGTTTGAGGGATCATCACAAATATAAACTCAATTTCCTAGCATACCTCACTGTCTGTTCATACCAGGGTCTCACTCCTTTAATCCTGAATCGTGATTTGCTCTAATTCCAACATCAAGACAATTTTATTCTTACTATGGGAATACGGTGTTATGGATCTCTCTTAAAGGCATAAGTTCTTCACTATTTATGCAGGTGTCTATTTATCATTTGCCACCAAAGGATTCTATATAAACTGATAACAAGTATACATAAAATTTATTTTTGTTTCCCTCCTGGTTAGAAAAGGAAATACAGTATAGCCATTGATTATTTTCTCCTCCTCAATTATCAGGAACAAATAGAACATGTTTAACCTCAATAACAATGTCAAATGCATGAAGTGATTGGACAAATGTTCCATTGATGTCCTTTCTTTGAATCCTGCACGTGGTTTGAGGACACTAAGATTTTGGTATATAGTTATATTATCAATTCTCTCCCACACACATTTATTTCTTAATCTACCTTCATCTTGCTTCTAATTTTAAAAGAAAAATACACACTCTTTCTTTCAATGTATTCAGAAACTTTAACTCACACGAGAGTAGATAGATGGGAAACATAAGGGAGTTTATAAGCAGCATACCAGATCAATGTAATAGTTAGAGTTGCATAGTACCCTTTTGTTTTCAAAATAACTATGGATGTCTCCTTTTTATTCCTTATCAGTTTTCCTCTGAGGTATATCTTATTTTACAGATGAGAAAACTAAGGTCAGAAAGGATAAATAATTTGCCAAGATCACTGAGCTAGTAAGTGGTAGAGATTGCACTCAAGTCCTGGCCTTCTATCTTCCAAATATTCCACAATAAGGAGGGATAAGTACAGTACTGGAATTTTATTTAATTAATTTATTTATTAAAGATTTATTTATTTATTTATTTGAGAGAGAGAGACTGAGAGAGAGAGAGCACATGAGAGGAGGGAGGGTCGGAGGGAGAAGCAGACTCCCTGCCGAGCAGGGAGCCCGATGTAGGACTCGATCCCGGGACTCCAGGATCATGACCTGAGCCGAAGGCAGTCGCTTAACCAACTGAGCCACCCAGGCGCCCAGTACTGGAATTTTAAACAACTAATTTATGGTAGAGTAGTATGGGTGACAATAGGAAAAAAGGTTAATTAGCAGTCTACTGGTTCTTAGGACTAGGTAGATTGTTAAAAAATAATCATGCCTCGGGGCGCCTGGGTGGCTCAGTCGTTAAGCGCCTCTGCCTTCGGCTCTGATCGTGATCCCAGGGTCCTGGGTTCAGGCTCGCATAGGGCTCCCTGCTCAGCGGGAAGCCTGCTTCTCCCTCCCCACTCCCCCTGCTTGTATTCCCTCTCTTGCTGTGTCTCTCTCTGTCAAATAAATAAATAAAATCTTTAAAAAAGAATAATCATGCCTCTATATTTTGAAATTTAGATTCTGGGGAGAAACAAAAATTCAAAGGGAAATGATTTTTCTTGCCAATGAGTATCTGGGGAAGAATACAGAGGAAGTGGCCATATCTTAACACTAGTGATGGAGCTTTCGTTTTCCTTTTTCATTTCTGATATATTATGTGTTTTACTTTTCTATTTTTACTATTACAGAAGATTTTATAATATATATGAGAATTTCTACTGATTTCCAGTAACTGCAAAGGGTCAACCAAGTTTCTAATTAAGACTCATATTTGTTAAGAAAATAGAAACCAACATTTGGAGCCCATAAAACATGAAGAAGATTTTGAGGCATATCATGAAAAGCTACCTATAGATAAAAATGAAATTCAAAGTCTATGACAATATATCTAAATCTATAAACTCTAAAAATTTGGTATTCCAGGTTATAATAAAGAAAATTAGTATAAAATGGTGGATTAGACACGAAGTTCCTTCATTTCTCACATATCTATTCAAAATTGAGTTTCAAAGTTGATAAAAACATAAAACAAAACTCTACAAGAAGAACACATGCCATTTGGTGGCATATAAAGGATCACCATGAGATTGGAGAGCCCATGACTGACGACTTGTTACTTTTTGTAGTACATATGTCAAGTAAATCATTATTTAAAAAAAATAAGAAAACCTACCTGTTTCTTATCTCGAATTGAAGCATCAAGTGATAACTGTCTATCATATAGATTGAAATAATTGTCCTTTTCTGTTAAGAAAATAGTCTGTAATTTTTGATATTCTTGAGCTAAACGTAGATTTTCTTCTAGAGAATCATCTTGTATTTTCTAGAAGATAAATATATATTTAAAGTCATTTTAATTTTCTTGAACTTTTTCAACATCATTTGAATTATCTACAAATATTATATTACATATTGTAGAAAAAAATAAAGTCAAAAGGTGCTTCCTCTGACACCAATATCCTCCTTGGATTTAATAATTTTCTTTCTTGATTTACTTACTTCTTTTCTTTCTTTTTTGAACAGTGATTTACCAGAGTATCTCTGATTTTTGTTCTCCCTCTTTCCCAGACTTCCCTCCACAATGCCTTGGGAAGTACTCAGTCCTGAGATGCTCCACTCAGCTTCCTAGGAGCCTTCTTCCAGTTTACTACCCCCTTTTCCTTTCCCCAAACCCCAACGCTCAAATAGGTAGAAGACACTTGGAAGCTTAGAATCCTATTTCCAAGAGGTTCAGAGTGGTGACACTCACTGAAAACACAGAAAATTAAAGGGTAAAAGACAAAGACAAGGAACTCAACATTTAGAAGTACCATGAGAAAGCCATTATTCGATTCTACTATACTTTAGCTATATTAAAGGTTAAATCTGTGAGTAGTTGAGAACTTTATAACACCCCCTCATGACTAAATAAATATATGTTAAATCTAATACAAATCCCTTAGAATATAACTTTTGTAATATTACCAATTGGCAAATTCGGGCCTACCAATTGGCAAATAGGGCTATCATTTTTAATTAGATGTGTGAATTCAGTCTAGTTGTTGATTCTTTTTAATGTTTGTAGCACATACAGTTTTCTCTGGTGCTTCAAAAAATACAGAATTTATCAACAGCCTTAAATATTTTCAAACCTGTTAATCTAGTAGTTCATTTTATAGAAATTTATTCTAAGCAAAAAGCGTTATTCACTAAAACTTTATTTATAGTAGCAAAAAGTTTACAAAACACATAAATGTGGATTAATCATAATGATGATAATGATGATTAAATAACTAGATATAAAAATAACCATTGTGAAGCAATTAAAAATGTTTCCTTGAGAAAATTGCTCTCACATCAAACCTTTACTATAAGTTGTTTAAAAATATATTGCAATATGAGAATGTGCAGACGAAATGCAATTCAGCAGAAAATTGCCTGTACAAATATTTCTGTATTTACACACTTGAAGATTTATTAAGGTCAATAAACATATTTCTCATGAAAGCCTGGTATCCATATTGATCCCTAATGATGAATATTATGTCATAGCTGTTTTTCAAAAAGCCAAAATGATGAACTGAGAACCATTTTAAATGTCCTTGTCCTAATTCTGGCATAGTAGTTTCAAACTTTAGAAACTTTTATCTAATAAACTTATCTAAAATCACACAGAATTATCTTTTGGTAGGAGGACCAAATATATATGAGGATTTTACTCTGGTGGGGATAATTCTGAAAAAAAATGGTTACAGTTCTTTTTGATATCTTAACACTTATTAAAATCTAAGCCTCAAGTGATTCAGTTGGATCTTTGATAAATGTTCTACTGAAGGTAGGAGGAGGAATCATTTTGAGTTTTTTTGTTTGTTTGATTTAACGTAAGCACAACCCTGATACCTGAGGTATTCTACTTCTCAATTACATTTCTTTCAAGCCCTAGATGGTTACTATAAACATTGCATTTGAGAGAAGTGGTAGAAAAGTTGTGGGATTTACATCAAGCCTGTTTAATGGAACTTTAGTGAGGATATATTTGGTACTTTATGGTTTGCTCACTGTGTAAAATGCAGTTTTATTTCCATATTCATATACCTTCAATTTCTGTATGACACCAGTTCTTACTGCTTTATATGCCATAATTAGATACCAAGAAATCAAACTGTGCAGTTATGTCAATGAATCTTCAAAACATTGTTACATCAGTCATGATTTTTTACATTTTACATTATCATTTCTCAATAATGAATTTATAGAAGAATTTGTCACTTCACTACCTATTCCTGAAAGTCAGTGACCTTCAGATGTGCGATGAAGTTATAGGTTTATAAAAATATTAAATAATGGTATTCTACTGTCACTCTTTGAAAATGTTTTTTATGCTTAACTGTGGTTCAACCTTACAACTTTGACATGTTTAATTTTAACCAATAGTATTATTACATGTGAATGAAACAAAGAGGGAATGATACTGGTGGAAATATGTCCATGGGAATAATGTTACCACTACTGGAGTGAAGAGCTTATGAAAGATTAACAGTAGAAGATATTTAACAGGGGCACAAAAGTTGGGGTCAGAAATATAATAAAAGGGTGAGAAGAAAGAAGAAACTAACAAGAGAAATAAGATGACTTTTCACGCTTTTAAATTCAAATCCAGCTGAATCTTACCAGTAGAATCTTTCTACTTAAGGTCTTGGCTAAATGTGAGCTTGAAAAAAATTTTGTTCCTAAAACCATCAAAGAAAAATCTGATTGCGATCTCTGAGGGTTAAAATAATTGTGCTCTGAGTTTACAGTGTTATTTCATTCATTCATTCATTCATTTTCATTAATTACTTATTCAAAACTTTGAATTTAATAACTACTATATCCCAAGCTCTAGGATATAATGGTGAATCTCCAAAATTGATGGTCTTGTGGGAAAGATTTATATTAAAAATCACACAAATATATAATTAGAATGTAGAATTTATATTACTTGATATTATACTACTTGAGAGGTAGATTTGAAAGAAGTATATAAAGAGCACTCACACAATATGTTTTTGCACTGAACATTATTCTAAGGATATACCACACTGTCCAGCCTTAGCAAGAGTTTTTTCTCTGGGTGCATCGTTGACTTTCACAAGGTATGTGAACCCCTTGAAACTATACATAGCATTTTTCTGGGGTTACCTAATTAGCCCATGATACACCAAAGTATTGAGAAACCATACCTAAAGAAAGAACTGGCTTCTCCTTCTGTCACCAAAAATGTTCAAAATTGAAGGCAGATTGAGACCCCGAGATATACAAATGGTAGGTTCTCCATTTTCTTCTTTATTTGACCCTTCTTATTTTTTAAATAAGATTTAAATGGATTTCATCTTGGACTTTCCCTCCATCTTCAGTTTATTTTTCTCACTCTTTCCCTTCTCTTTCCCTCTCACACTGGGCAAATAAAGAATAGGGAATTATAATTAGAGAACTGGGTTCTTTTTGGACAAAACAGTAGCTCATCTATTTATGTTTCACCCTGTGACATAGAGACAAGAACTTAGAAATAGGGCTGAACTTGAATGTGGGCTTATGAATTCCACACACAATGGAAAGAAGTGAGACAATAGCAATCATCTCAGTTGTTACATTATTATCCTCATTTTACAGATAGGGAAACAAAGGCAACAAAAGTCAAGTAAGGCAAATTGTATTTTCCAAAAGAAGGCAACAGAAATACTCTCATTCCACATGTTGTTCCAGAGTCTTGTTACTTCCTATCAAGAAGCATAGTATATTTCTCTTTCCTTTGTACCTGGGCAGACTTGTGGTTTCACCAGCCAAAAGAGTATGGTGGAAAGGATACTATGTGACTTTCCAGGCTAGTTTATTAAAAAAGCTGGTTTTATAGAAGCCAGTTTATTTAAAACAAACAAACAAACAAATGCACAGCTTCTGGCTGGCCTCTCTTTGGGGACATTCATCCTTAGAACCAGGTACCATATTGTAAGGAATCCAGGCCACAAGGAGAAGTTAAGTGTAGGTGGTCCAGTAAACAGCCCTAGCTCAAGTGTCAGAGAACAGTCAGCATCATCCATGAAAAAATGAGTCATTTGAAGATGATTCCAATCCCTAGTTTCTAAGTCATCCAGCTGATGGTTCAGAAAGCGTGAGACAAGAGACAAGCAGGCTCCACTGTATCCTGTTCAAATTTCTGGCACATAAATCATGAGCCATAAAGTTTGGGGGTATCTATTATGCAACCCTGGCAACTGAAACACCCAGACATCTTGTGCAAGATTACACACATATTAAGTGGAGACTTGGGCTTTGCATCCAGGCAGACTGGCTCTAGATCCCATACTTTTTACCATCCAATATATTTCTTTTGTAAACATGAGCCAGCACTCAACACTATGCAGCACTGTCTTTATAAAACCTAATGATATTAAACAAATAACAGAATTACCTTGTTCTGAGCCTACTTCCACCAAGCAACTCTCTTTTTATAATCTGGCTAACACACAGCTTGTTGACATAAATAAAATGAGCTGCTGAAGGACACTAGAACTTGGTCTCCTTGGAAACCACTTTTTATTGTAAGTCAATATGGGTATGTTGGTTATATATAACCAATCTCTTGGTTTTTTGTTTGTTTGTTTGTTTTGCTTTTGTTTTTGTTTGTTTGCTATTGTTACCTACACGATTCCATATTCCATGATTTGATTAGGACTGATGCATTCACTGACAAGACCAAATGCCCAAGTGCATAGACTTTTACAGCTGAGGCCTGCACAATTCTGGACTATGGTTGATGCAATAATGTTACCTGTTGACCCTGATGGAAGTTCAGCCAGATTCACTTATCCTAGAGAAAATCTAAACACATTTGAACATTTTTTTTTTAATTTAAGATGGATTAATGGCAAAGGAGATTACAAAAAAGAAACTTGATCCAAATATTCTAGAGAGATGCTTATGATTAAAGTATTTGCACTGTACACATATATGTAGAAGACCTACATAGCTATTTACAAAGACTTGAATGTTATTAAAATAGTCCTAGTGTCCATACCTACATTTATGGTAATGTGTCCTCTATACCCTCAGTTACTCTTAATACAGGCATTTGGATCCAGTTTGCCAGGCAGAGGGGCTATAATTACATATTGTAAAAGAGTTGTCATCTTTGACCCAGTTCTAATTCTAAGTGTCCCATCCTGATATGATCATGTGTGGCTGCCTCAGGTGATCTTTTCTGATGATCTGTCATCGCCTGGTTCTTGGTTATTAATAGTTTATTGCGGACAGCTCCTTGCTCTTTATGCATCCCACCGGGGCTTTGCTGGCTGTTAGTGCCAC